ATATTCTCGCAACATGTTTCTCTCATTCGGATCCGAACCACGAAATTTTGCAGCAAGCGCTAACCCCTTGTGTGGCTCAACCATTTGCCCCCGGTACCTATGCTGCTCTGCAACTGATACATGATTTTCGACCTTCGCCCACCACATCCGCACACAATGGGCGCGTAAATCTCGCTTCTATAGCGGAGCTCCTGCACATCTTTGCTCGCCTTTTGCCGGTGTCTGGAGTCTGTTCTGGAACCATTTTACAGATTTCTGCGTTTGGCTCCACCTACCTCGCCGCACGCTCCGCCCACAACGGATGTGTCTTGCACTCCCAAACCGGTGACTCCTCGCTTACCCCAGTCCACTTTTTCCCCAGTGTCTGAAGTGCTCTGGAACCGTTCCACAAATTTCTAAGTTTGGCTCCGCCCACCAAGCTGCACGCTCGGCCTAAAACGGATGTGTACCGCATCAACCGGTGATCCCTCCTGACACTGCTAAAAAGACCTGGAGTGCTCTGGAAGCGTTTGCAGAGTTTTTCCTGGCTCCGCCCACCTCGGAGCAATCTGCGCCCACAAAGTGTTCCCCACATTCCTTGCCTGCGACCCTTTGCTGACCCCAACCCACTTTTTTTCTGGTCTCTGGAGTGATGTGGAAACGTTTCGAAGAGTTTTTTGTCGCTTTTTTCCGGTCTTCAGTTTACTTTGGAACCGTTAAACGAACCTTTTTGTCAGGCTCCGTTCACCACGGAGCAAGTTCCGCCCACAGCGTGTGTGCCCACGTTTCTTAACCGTTGACCCTTTGCTGACCATAAATCACTTGTTTCCGGAATCTGGAGTGTTCCGGAACCATTTTATGGAATTTTTTTCCTGTCTCCACCCACTTCGGAACAGTCCCCTCCCACAACATTCGTCAATGCGAGTGCCCCTACATCAGTCAGGAAACCGTTTTCAAAAAGGGCACCACGCTCTGAGCGAGCTCCCTTGTAAGGGCGATTAGTGGTCTCGATCACAAATATGACATTTGTTTTTGGTGCCAGAACCAGTTGGCACTCTGCTACGAATGTGCACGGAAGGGGCAGTGATTCCCTTTCTCCCGAGCTCAGCCTTAGAGAGCGCAGATGACCAGGAAGCCCTACGTTCGAACTTGCACTAAAAATTGTCGTATCGGTAATTATGGTATCAAATGACCTTAGTATTCAAGTTTATCTGAAATCAGTAAGAAGAATGTGGCACCAGCTGAGCACCAGCATTATTCTGGCGCTAAAAAGCGCCGGTTCCGTAGGTAAAGTTCCAGCGATATCTTTTCAGTTTACGAGGCTGTGATAGCTGCACAGCGCAGTCGCAATCGTTAAATTTCCTCATTTTTCCACTACAATCCCCTCACCCGGCGCACGTCAGCAGTTCGCCGCATGCGTGTGCTCATCCGGGTAACTAAGAATTCGCGAACACTGATTTTACATATTCTGAATGTATCGAAAGTTACCCAAACTTTGCGACCAACTCCACAAGTATATCTTCATTTCTGACAGCTCTTTTTTGATAACTGAACGGGACCTCCAGGCACAACTTACCGTGGGCCACCGTGTTTCTCTTTAAAGGCACATTCCGCGATAAAATAAGGCTATGACCTCTCAAATGTGTCGGACGATCCGGAAGGCGATTTTTGAGGCTGCGCTACTTTCAAAATGTGAAAAACGGCAAGAAC